TCAGGCTAAGCTAGGTTAAGTAATAGTTGAAAACTGGTTCTTTTATTATCTATCAACTATCGTCGTTCTCAATGGGATCTTGTATTAGTGCTTCTTAGCTAACTAAGTTAACCTCGGGTCACTTCCTTGTACTAGGGGACTGGTACTTTGCGTTTATTAGCATATTATGAATGAAGCTAGCATCCCTCCTTCTTGCTAGTGCTTAATTTAGACTGACAAGTCATTATAGTTTATTTTTAAGCATTTAATTAACTTTTTCTCCCTCTACTAACTATGCCGTACAATTAGAATGTAAAATCTTCGTATAAAATGTCTGACATCTAGGAGCCTAATATGAGCTCAGTCTAAGCTCAAGAGCTGCCTTTTCATATCCTTTTAAGTTATATAATCTGCTACCCTTTCAATATTAATCGAACTCAGAGACTACCTGCTTTTCACTTGCCCTACTTGATTGTTAACGCATAGTGCTAGTACTCTGATATAGCCAGATCATTCATAATGAGGTTTTCCAAGTAACAAGTCTGCACCCTTTAGAAGCAAGTATCACGTATTATTTTACTTTCTTCTTTCTTTTTTAATTTGGGAGACTGTAATTAACCAAAAAAAAAGACAATAATTAAACAAAAAAGAATTGTCTTATGTTTTTTAAATTTATATTTTGCCAAATTAATTTCAGGTAGAGATTAACGTTTTATATGAAAATAAAGCTTAGTAAATAGTTGCCACATTTTTCCTTTAGCCATTACATTCCTTACTACATAATTGTTTCTTTGTAGTCCTTGTACGGCGTAGCGGTAAGAAATAATAAAATGTCGTAGCCTTTAATACGGATGCATTAACGGTCATAGTATTTTTAACAGCTTTATTATTCTGTAAAATTGAAGTATTACATTTTTTATTCTAATATTACATATTCTTTAGCCATGGTGTCCGTTTGTGGCCTTACCGAAGGCTATGTATTTGACTCCACATGTAGATTTTTGTATTTTACTTATATCAATATTAAAGCACCAATGTAAGGGATTAGGCTTCATCTCAAAGTTGTCAGCCCATCAACGATTCTAAGTAGCATTCTCTTAATATAATCTGCTTTTCCGTAATTGAGTTAAAAAAAATGGAGTTGCAAGTTTCTAGTTTGGTAGAAAAAGCTTAACTTTTTTGTCATGCTTATATGGAGCAAATTAGTTTGTTTATCCCATAGAAAAAGGATATTTATACCTCCAGGGAAGTAATATGAAATGTGTGTAGCCACTCTGTACCTAACAGACAAGTACGAGGTACAAACATGTGGTACAATGGCACATGTATAATGTAACACGTAGTATGAGCACAAGATTTATTAGAGTTAACTCCAACATATATTGTCGAAGAAGAAAAAAAAATAAAAAGGAGCTTATAGATATATTGTTTCGTGTAAGAAGGATATTTAAACTTTTAGGAATAGTAAAAGACCACTTGTGAAGACTGTCGTTTATGTCAGAAAAAAATCTGCGTAAAAGTGTAGTAGGAAATGTCCGACCTGATGCCGGCAGCTATTCAAATTAAAGAAATCTTAATTTCGTAATATTGTTCACTAACCCAAATGCCTATCCCGCATCCACTGACCTTAATTTAGGTAGGATGAGCTGACAGAGGTGCGGTTCATGTTAAACTTTAAGACCAACTTTTGGTTCATAGCAATCGCATTATTTTCATCGGGCTCTATGAATTTTTAGTAATTTCTTCAGCTTTTTTCATAATCCTTTTGCAATTTTATAATATGTTTTCGCGTTCCCAGTAGTATACAGTCATTCGATAGCATGCAGGAAGTAAAAAATGCAACTATTTTTTATCAATCCTCTATTGAATAACTAGATTATTCGATATAATTTTTAAGTGTTCCATTTTTTATATCTACATACCCATATATATCTTTTTGTACTTTTAATTTTTTTGTTTACTTTACTTTATGTCAATTTCTTCTTTAACGGGAGAAATCAGCTCTATTTTCACGGAATATGGACAACAAGAATCCATTTCCAATTTATTAGCTGCCAGCGAGGTTTTAAAAAGAATTTGTACCAATTAGGAAATATAAATATACGCTGAAATGGATGCAAAGATTTTTTACGTGTTAAATTCAAATTTTTTTTTCCTGGGCTATACCTTTTTCTAGACAAATCTAGGATTTAAAAAAATTTATAAGATAATAAAGAACTTGGGGTACCATAAAGCAGCGATTAGAGTAAGTATAATGATAACCATATTAATAGCAGTAGTAATAATTATAATAGAAACCTTTTAAATAATAGTGATAGCAGTTATAATAATACTATTGGTAATAAAATTAATACTTGGTAAAATAAGGAATTAGTGATGTTTTTAATAGTAAAAACGATATAAATATAAAAATGTTCTTTATTATCTCAGTGCAAAACGGTAAGCTTCTTCCCACTCAGATATGGTTAGAATGGAAACAGATTAGACTACTACAGAAACATTCAAACACGAGCAACACTAGAAGAACATGGACGCGTAAAATGAAAACCTCCCCTATCGTTCCTTAGACAAGAGAATGTGACCTAAATTAGTGGAATACTACCGCTCTTGCGCAATTATACCTCCCTTTGGTTATTTTCGAGGCTGTACCCGCCTTTTGCCCTCAACTGCTGAGGAATGTAGCAGAGTAGTACGCAATACTGTTACCAGTTACATGAGCTCAGACCCGTCAAAATCATTCTTCGAGACCTATATACAGATCTACCTGTAGTCGATATAAAGACGGCACTGCATGCTGAGAATTTACCCCTTCCCATAGAACGAACCTCTACAATTCATCTAGTCAGCGAGAACGGCATCTAACCGTTGATCCTAGTTGGACGTATTAAAATCACAAACTTGTACCATCACCCATGTGAGGAAAACCAACTCACGTTTCTTTATGAGAAGCCCAGATATTCCGCCTGCAACTTGCGCTAACTGCGGCGACTCCCACACTTACGAACTACCAAGGGTACCTTGTTATCTTAAAAAAATTGTTCCTTCGTCGTCATTACGTCAACGATCCGCAACTGGTTACGACGGCAATCTCATTTGTAGCTATGAAGGTGCAGAAAACTCGTGCACCTTAACCCTCTCCAAACAGTTATATGAGATACTGACTACCGCAATGGTTGTCAGGCCCAGCTCATTGAGCTAGCTAAAACTTTTGCAGGAGGGTGTTAATGGCCCGCACTGAAAAAATAACGTACTGCTGCAGCTGTTGCGGTGTAATATGGAGACTTCGGCTTGTCAAAAGAGAGGCACCTGAAAGTGATCAATCGATTAGTACTTTGCAATTACGCAGCCTCCCGTCTAGACCATCTTAACAGATACCGCGGAGACGTAACTATTTTGTTGTGGCCAGTTTTATCACACCACTCAATTGTTCCTTCAAACCTAAACGGCGTGGGGACAATAGGAATTCGTCTCAACTTCGCTGATGCAAGGCCTTCAACTGCAAACACGTTGCTTGGAACAAAGAATGTGCAGAGCTATGTACTATTTAACAAAAGCACGTAATTCATCGGTGCTAACTCCAACTCCCTTCTACTCTCATAAAGTACTTGTGGGTTATTAACTGTAATATATAATATAGTGAATTCTTATGCATATTTAAATTTTATATAGCCTTATTGCATGTGTTAGAACTTGACACCTTAATAAACGGAAAATGCTTAAAGAATGAATTAATTGTCTAGAGGTTGATAGAGAGTTGCTAGATGACTCGAGCACAAGCGAGTTATTAATTGTTGAAAGACAAGTAAAAAAAAAAAAGAAAGGATTTACAGAGATGAGTAAACTTTTTTATTTGTAATGTATTCTTGCTCGCCAAGCATGCTAATGTTAGGGTATGCCTAATAGCCAGTTATCTTTCTTCTTTCTAATTACAATCCGACTTGTAATTAAGGGTCTTTCTATAGCCTTTTTTTCGTACAACGTTAACTGCAGTATTTTAATTTGCAAGAATTTCACACGCCTCCATCTTTGAGGTAAGTTGATGTTTTTAGATTATTTTTTGTAATATATAATTTTTAATAAATATGAATTACTTAGAATTAAAATAGATAGTTTATTGACCGAGTACTTTTAAAGTTAAAAATATTAATAAAAACTAATAAGTGCTACAAGTTAAAGTAACTATAACGCACGATTAAGAAAGCCATTGGTCGTGGGAATAAGAGATTAAGACTATGCACTCGCATAAGACAAAAATTTATTATAATTGAATTATTCGGCCTTTTGATTTATTACTTGTTAGTTAAGAGGAACTATAGTTTTAACGAATGAACTAAGCTAAAAGGTAGTTAGGGTAATAAGGCTAATAAAGACGATGAAGAAAGAAGCGCGTTGCCTTTGAGTATATGGTACTAAATTATTCAGTGGTCAGTTATAGTTCTACAAATATCTATGCACGCAACGTCATACAATATAATTGTGTTTTGCCCCCAATTAGCTCCATAATCGCCTACATTTGACTTAACTCTATATTAATTTAAAAACTGGGCGGGATTCTTAGTATTCAGCTTAATTATTTACCTTGTTAACAAACAATAATTCCCCTATATAACTGAAAAACTAAGTGTAAGGGTTAGGGTTATTGGAATTTTATTTCGATTTAAGACCTTTCCTATTCTAGCATCCTTAAAATACCTTTTTTTTTTAACTTTTATGTAAATGTATTGAGCCCCCTTGACTGAAACATAAATAATCCTTTGTTACTTTTAGTGTAGACGTGAAACAAGTCCACAACGTTAAACATACTTTATCTTTTTCAGTATATATGGGTTTATTACCTCAATGAATTAAAAAATATTTTAGTAATGATATTTAATACTGTAATTTGCTTTTCAAAATAATACTTGCCTCAAATAAAAGTTGCTACCTAGTAATTTGCTAACGAAGAATCGCTAGAACATAAAACTATATCAAATTAAAAATATTTGGTGGTAGCATAACAAATTTTATTGCTTAAAGTCTTAGTATTATATTCTCTCAGAAATTTACTGTTCACCTTCATTGGTATTTAATTCACCCTTTGGATATCCTTTAAGGTTTTTTTTTGCAAATTCGCGGTTTATAAGTAAAGGAAGGAGCTACTGGCACAGTCAATGGAATGGAAGATTTTTTCAGCTTTATTGATCGGATTTTTAGCAACTTTTTTATTGCGACCTTGACAATACGCAATTAATACAACATAAAATTTGGAAAAGATTTAATGCAGTCATACATACTATATAAATATATTTCTAATATAAAAAGATACAAGGCGCACCGGAGAATGTTCGGAAGTGAATTCAGCGTTAGGCTGTTTAGACTGCCTTACGCGTGCGGCCGTGCGTAGTTGAGGCGTAACTGGAACGGTCAACTGCGCAAGCGTGGTAACACACAATTAAAGATGACGATCGCCTTTTTTTTAACTAACCTGGTACAAGTTTTTACTTTGAGAGACCACAAAATGAGACAGTGGAGATCTTTTCAGGTAAAGAGGATCTGCATAAAAAAATAATTTAGTTGGTTGTAAATCTAAAATAAAACGAATAATTTTTTAGGCACTTCCAGTGCTTCGTCAAAAAGTTTTGTATTATAATAGCTAACAAAATAAGGGGAAAACTTTTATCTGATGTTGCCCTAATAAACCATCGACTATAAGAAGGCTTTAGTAACGAAAATGAGCGCCTGCTCTGCTTAAAATATACAGATTTTTTTAACTTAAAAAAGAGTTTAAAAAAATTATACAACTACCAATTTAAATATTACAGCGTTGAAGTAAGATCGGATAAACCTTTCTGCTGACTTTTCGTTGCGAGTTGAGGCGCTTTGCTATCCGCAGTTGTTTTGACTTTGAAGGTAATTCGACTCGTTAGCGAATTTGGAGCACGGGAAGCAGTTACCGAAAGCTTTTAAGCAGTATTCATATACACAAGAAAACGAAAAAACAGAGAAGATACCTTTTTCTTTGCTAACAGTTTCTTAGTATTCTCTAAACGTGCCTCCTATTTCAGTAAAAAATTAATAAAAAATCTTAAAGCAAACGTAATGCAAATTTTAGGCTCGCACGGCGCACACAAACAGGGGAACTCCACTGAAGATATGAAAACCGGCATTTGGAAAAGTAATTTAGATACAACACAGCATGGTTAATGTATAAACTTAACTACAATCGTTCTTCCCGTGGATAGTAAACATTAGCACAATATTATTTAAAAAATATGTAGCATGTACTAAACCAGGATAGTAAAAAGGTCAACTCTAAACATAGAAACCAAAAAAGATGGTTTATTTATTTATAAGACAGAGGAAAGGAAAAAAAATGAATTTATGTATATATATATATATATATATATTATTGTTAGTAGTCTCAGTAGTCACCATTTAGTCTTAATAGTTACAATATAAAAAATAAAATTACATCATTTTTTATTCGTATTTGTTAATAAAGCATTGAATAATGTGAAGTGAATATTTTAGTCAATAATTTAGAAGAATACTATTAAATAAGAACTTTTAACTTTTGTTTCACTTCATAGTTATAATAGTTTTACACCACATTACAAGGTTCAAGTTAATTGAACAGCGTAGGGGTTACCTTCGGTTGTGTTACTTGTTCTCTTGGAGACCGCTTCTTATAAACAGTCGTATGAAAGTTAAAAGGTTTTGGAACTGTTATCTTCTATCCGCACAAAACTAATGCTAGAATTTATAGAAAACTGAAAGCCAAAAGTACCTTTGGGTGGATCCGAGGGACCCCGATGTCCCCCGTAGGGTTGGTCAAAATTTTTTTGTCCACTGCTTTCGCTTAACAAACGCAAAGTATAACGTACCAATATAAAACTTCTGAAAAAAGACAATACCCTTAAAAATCGCCCGTTCGGTAGAGAGCGCTTGAGCAGATATACCGGTTTTTTTCAAATTTCTTATAGAGGAGCCCTTAAGTTCTTGTGTTAGCTCGCGAAATAATTCAAAATTAATTAATTATTTATTACAATATTCGTTATTTGTTCTAAGGAGTTTTCATTAGAATAAAAGATTATATTGTAAAATATAATAGAAAAATAGTTATATAGACTTAAGCTACAACGAGACAACTCTAGTTATAACTAATAAGGCATTTTTAATTTATAATATATTAAAATTACTTGAACAGTAACTAAAATATTAAAAAATATATATATACATAAAAATGAAATTGTAGTGAAAAAATAGCGTAAAACAAAAAATAATATAACCTTGAAGGGATTCTCATAAAGTATAAAAAATAATACGTATTATTGAAAATACTTTACTTAAATAATTTCAAGAACACCTTTAAAAATAGTATCCATATAATAAGCTATTCAAATTATAATGAAATATATGTACTATACTTAGAAGTCCTACAACTTAACATATATAAATTAAAACTATCAATGAAAGTAGTAAAGCTCGAAGCCTTTCTTGAAAACTTGTTCATATTAATATTTCTAGGAGGCGATAAAATATATCAAAATCACGACTCAGTAACATACAAGCTAAATATGACTTTAGCGAATGTCTATCAAAAGAATATAGTTATGTAAAATATATAACATACATATATATAAACAAAAATTTTAAAGATAAAGAAAGACAGTGTTAATAAAAATTATATTAGAAAGAATTAAGATCGCGTACTTTTTAGATAAAAAAGTTTATAAAGTAAACTTTTTTATCTGTAGACCAAAACTCTCTATGTATATATATACATATATACAGAAAATCTTATATAAATACGCTTTTAACTAAATTTTTAGAAGTTATCTCTGCTCTCGAGTTATCACTACTCACAGACATATTTTGAGAATTTGAATTAGGCGTTAAAGCAGTTCCTTGGTCAGTTTTATTAATAGTTGCACGACTTGAGAGCTATTTTTAACCAGATTTACTTTTATTAATAGATTAAAGGTAAGCTTTATAAACTAGATTTAATATTAAGTTCGTAATTTAACTTAAGGTCTAAAGAATTGAAATTAAAGTTACTAATAAAAAGATATAAAATAGAATCTTAAAGTTGAATTAGCTATTGCTTTTAGGAGGTAAAGAATAGTACTTTGATCTTTTCTGCTTCAATCGTTATATGTTTTTTAGGAGTTTTCAAACTTTTAAATGCTCTCATCAAAGAATCAAAAGATTTTCTCTCGTTTTCAACATCAGATAAACTTTCAACTTTTCTATTGTCTCCCTTATATATATTTAAAAGCTGTCACTTTAAAGGCTTAAAAAGACAAAGTTATACCGAAGTACCGTTTTAAAGAAGGAGAGTAAACTATTCTCTCCATTAATTTTAATATTTTCCTTTAAATCACTTTCCTGTATTTTTTTTTTTTCATAAATTAACTTATAGTGGAAAGGATTTTAAATATAATAGAATTTAAAATTGAGCTAAACTTGTGGGGAATAGTTTTGGCGAAAAAACCAAACGTCGTCCACTTCGGCATGTAAAGAGGATTTATGAGTTGGCGCGTCAAAGTTATACAAAGGGTCATTCATACTTATTTAAACTGATGCTTTAAAAGTCATTGGGTTAAAGCAAAGAATTATAGCTTAATAAAGCTGAGTTTACTAGTTAGAGATTAAGAAGGTAATTGAGTACACACCCCTAGCTGCAGGACGAAGGGGCTATTAAGATATTTCGGTAGAATATCCCTTTTCGGCAAATGGTTTTTTTTAATAGGGACGAATATTTATTATCCCTACCTATGCCCTTTTTTGAAAATGTTTGAAACCTTTAAGTGTTCATTAATTATAGCACTTAAAAGATATCATCTCTTTCAATTATAATGATACTATGTAACGTATAAAATGATACTTTAAGGTAATAGCAATATTTTAAAATTCCCAGGTTACTCACGTTCCAGAGTAGTCAAGTTGTTCTATCCTAAAAATTATTTTGTGAGAGGTTTTAAAGGAGTTAAATTACTCCAAATTGTGATTACAACAAAGTTAGTTGGTGTATATGTTTACTGTTAAAATTAATATACTAATTGAGAGTTTTAATTTGAAGTTAGTAACTTTCACATTGTTTCATTTGTAATAAGTTTGCCAAAATTTTACTTTTATGAGGCGTGCTTATTATATGAAGTTTATTCGGTTGTCTCTCTATAGTTGTCTTTTAGTTGACAGCCAATAAAATGAGTCATAAGCTCTTACGAGCATCAACATTATTAATATTTAATAAGGCGACCCCTTTTAGCAGTTTACATGTAAGTGTTGCGTTAAATAAACTCAACCTAATAGCTAATCTTTGGCAACATAATTTTTAGTTAATACAGATACTCCATTCTACTATTTATTTTCTATTTACAACCCTTTCTCCTGTTACAATTACAAGAGCACTATAATCAGTCCACCTTTTTATAGAACGCTTTGTTTTTGCCTTAAAAGAAAGATCTCTATTTCAGCGATGACTTCTTCACATGCCCCAAACCTCTTTCCCTAGAGCTTTTTTTTTTTCGAGATCTACAAAGTCATAGTCGCTAGGAACCTGATCTGTAGGGTACGGAGGTGCGGAATGAAAATTTGCAGATTAACTATCGACTTGTGACACACGCAGAGCCCTGATGAAACAGCACATTTTTCTTGAGCCATTAGGGTGTTTTTCCAGTAATTTCCTCCAACGAACCAAGAGTATTATTCTCTTTTCTTGTTTTTTCATTTTCAAGGTAGTCGATAAATATTATACCATGCGAATTCCAAAATACGATCGCCAGAACCTATCCGACGGACCGTCAGTCTTCGGTTGGTTTAAGCGGTTGGCGTACCTTGCTTTCCTCTCAGTTGTCCGCCACTTTAACTCTGGTGTAGTGATAGCTTTAAAATTCATCCGTTGTTACATATTGTTTATAAAATTCTTTTAAATCTATTAATTAACCCTAAACAGTGTTCCGCGTTTATGATTTTGGTCCACTGTGAGCGACCGTGGTACCCATTTCGAACCGAGTCTTTTCATGCTCAAAAGTTCATGTAATATATAGCTTACTCGTGTCATTGAATCTTTGAGATACCAGCTAACTCACGGAACTTCACTTTACGATCATCAAAGACCATTTTTTGGAGCTTTTTGAATTTTTCTGGAGTAACTACCTCATTTGTGCGTCCAGATTGTTCATCATCATTTCTGTTCGTACGCTTCCTATCAAATCTACCTTCAAATCTTTGTTTTAAAAGGAGCAGATTGCTTATAACACTTTTAAACCAGTGCTAAGCTTAAACGGTATTTTTTCATATCAAACTAGCGCTTACTTAAGACAAAAACTTAGTTTTTTCCTTTGTCTTGAAAATAACAAAAATAACGTCACTAAAATTTAATACCTCGACAACTAATGGACTAAATAGCATCAAATTTTTACAGGTATACTTGAATGTAGCACTAACTTAGAATGGTATGGATCCTTCTTTTTAAAAGCATCTGAGTATTAGACCTGGGGCGACGTGTTATTTTCTGATATAGTTCTCTTATTTTTGATCTCCAATATCTCCACAAAATTTTTATAATTTCATCCTAATATTGACTCTAAGCTCCAAAGTGAACAAATGACTACTTTGATCGGATAATAAAAATGTATTTTGGGTCATCATTGACCTTTGCATAATAACGAGTTAGACCTAGTCAGAAAGCTGATAATGAAAACTTTTTATGGTACTCTTTCGGATTGAACATTTCAGTGAGGCAATCGCACAATTATGCACTAATTACTAAATATTAAAAGCTTTTGCAATAATATATAGATCTAATTAAAAGTTTATATACCGCATAGCTACTGAACAACACTCTGTTTCACACAAAAACATATTAAATTAATTATACCTAAAAAAGCGGCCGCTTAGCTAAAAGTGAAAATTAATCATCGTATCAGATGCAAAGATAAACACATGACCTATAAGTACCTGAGCTTGCCATGATTTACAAGTGATACTTACGATGAGACTTTCCCCACTACATAAATTTAGGATTATAGCACCAGATACTAATATAGATAACCCTATAAAAAACAATGAAGTCCAAAAAATCTAAAATTCTTTGGCAAAATTTCGTAATTATTAATTTTTATATTAACACATAATTTAAGACCTGTAGGCCAATCAGGTTGAAAGTAACTAGATGACCTTATTTGGAAATAAGGTGATATTTTACCAACCTTAATAAGGTAAAAAGTTTAATCACACTCGAATTACAACAAATAGCGGAAATACTAAAAACAGTAATGTAGTAAGTCCACGCAAAACTTCTTTGCAGTGTTTAACTACAACTTATCATTTAAAAACTGTCGTTATTAAACAAGAGAAATCCAGTTTTATAACTATCTAGTCCCAAAAATCTTATGTATCAATAGATTGCTACTCCTACTCATCTTGTACAGAAAACTATAGGGTGAGGTTTATAGTGGACTACAAAAATTTTTAAAAAATATAGAAATCGACGTTTAAAGTCGTATACAAAATAATGACTAACACCGTATCAAAATTTAAGAGGGGAGGTTTAATATGCAAGTATCATATACCAAAAGAGAGAGCCGTATTGCCTGAAATCAAATTAACAACCTTGCATTTACGAGTCAATGCTTTAAACCGCTGAACCGCAACAACTTTGAATCAAGTATAAAAAATTAAAATTTCTCACTTAACCTGTTACACTCTCTGACTTGAAAAATATAATCTTAAAACTATAGTTATAAAAAAATTATACTTTGTCTTTTACAAATGTCGAGGCAGCGAAAAGTACTATGACCGGACAGAAACATACACATGCCTGCCACCACATCGCACGAGAACGTTGAGGGGCTGCTCTGTCGAGTATTATATAGGCACCAGAAAAACATAGGTTTCACACCAATTATTTGACTCATATAATTAATTTGCAACAATTTATAAGTACATAAACACGTCACATAAAATTTTAAAAAAAAAATTTTAAATTATTTAAACATGTTAGGACTCCATACCTTCGTAAATGATTTCTTGCTCCTTTAAGTTAGGCGTTCACTTTTGGCGTAATGAGAAATCTACCAAAACAATAGCATTTTCTGTCCCCCGTTCTCCCCTATGCGGAGGTTAAAAAACACACACCTCATGATATAGTATTGCACCCCAGAACATCTGGGAATGATTGACACACTTAATAATAATATGACCCAGAAACATCATCTCTCATGGCAGTAGGTGAAACTCTTTTCAGATAATTACCCGTTCTACTTAAACTTGGGGATACTAAAAGGGGCAGTGTGGCTAATTAAAAGCTATTTTTAAAGAACTGCATGCCCGATAAAATAATAGAGGAATTTAATTATTTTGTATATTACTTTGAAAGTTTAATTAGTACCTAATGTAAAAAAGCAACTTTACTTAAATCCAAAACCTTTTTTACTTTTGTCTCTACGAAATAAAGTATGCATTATACGAGAAGAGAGAAAACAATACACATGATCAACCAATTCCCAGGAGACAAAAAATTATTTAACAGACTCACTACCTTACCTAAAAAATCGCTGGCAGCTTATTATAACGACCTTAGGGTATTTTTTGAGTTATTCAAATAATTAAATACGAGAGATGGTTAAGCGTCTACACAGATATTGAGAAGGTTGCACTTATTATAAAAAAATTTAAAGAACCAATCAATTTTGGCTCTTTCCAAGCCCTAAAAAATAATAGTTACTCTGTAAGAGAATTTTGGTTTGTAGGAAGTTGTATAAGTAATTACTAGATCAGAAAAAATCGAGTTGGACCGACGAGAATCGAAGCCGCGGCCTTGGGATTGTGCGACTATGCTCTAACCATTGACCTACGGTGATAATTCACATCTTCGGTCGATAAATTAAATATACAACTTTTGTTACTATGTATGCTTTGAAGAAATGATAACTACACTACAAGTGCCAGGGCTCTAGGCTACGTATTCAAAAGTGCCACTACAACAGAAGTTAATTTTATAATTTAAGCGTGAGAAATAGGGAGGGTGAGGGCTCAACGGCAGTACGAGTGCAGTGATGAAAACTTGGTAAATGCTTCCCAATCTTATTTTTACTTTCCTATCCCTTAAGAACGAGATGTTTTCTACTAATGTAGGCCAAGGAGGTTTACAGTCAAAAATCTAATAAAGTCCATTTTCATTTGTAAATTAAAACAAATATACGCTCGAATAAAAACTACTAAAGCCGTATTAGTAAGAAGCTAGAGGATATATCTAAGGTGAAACGTTAAAATGCAAACCACAGAGGTATATAATATTTTGACCACGCGGCCTTCTGAGGCTACAGATCTCTAATATTAAATGCGAAGCAATTCGATAAAAAGATATTGAATCCACCTATTCATTTTTATTCGTTAGTTATAGTTTAAACGAAAGAACTAAGCGAAAGCAGGACCAGAAATAACACTAATTAAAAAAATTAAAGGAGGTTACTGATCCGTTAGCCTGCTCTCCCGGTTTGGGTAGACTGTGCAAAGCTGATATATTAAATAGAGATAAAACAATTTAAGGCACATAATATCTGCCATAAGTGCCTCGAAGGTGGTAAAAAATTTTCCATGGGGACATTGCGAGATATAAAAAAAGTCTTTGTCAAGGCAT